CTTTTGGACTCCTTATCAAGGTCTCCTATAAAAATAGTGCATTGTCAACAAACATAGTAAACCACTCTAGAATAGTTACACTTCTATACCAATGAATTGTTACTAACCACAAACTCTGAGTCAAATATATGTCGCTTCATCCTAGAGGATTGGTCCTTTTACTTAGCAATTAATGTCAATGCTACAATTGACATGATTTGTACATATCAAACCCATTACCTTACAAATTTTTTTGTGTGAAATCAAGTTTCACTTAAGATAGTGTTAAACATGCTTTATTACTGAGCCATTATCGAGGATTGAGGAATTAAAGTTCACCCTAAGTAAGGTGATATCCAAACATTTGCATAAACACCTTGCACACACAAACTATTCTTGTCAATGTAGACTGATGTGGATAATAAAACGTAAGGATAAGATTACTTATTGTTGAGCTTCATCTCCTACACAAAATTCATAACATAATGAATACAGTTGCTCCTTCTTGCTGACTTTCCTTTTACAGCTAACAAATGCCAATCATGAAGATCCAATGCAAGGTTTTTTCACCCTTTTCGATCTTCTTATTAGAACACTGGATTTGTTATGTGATTTTTCATTATCTTGCTTTGCATTTTCTTCGTCTACTATATCTGAATTATGCTCTTCCTCCTCTCCCTTTCCCTCTTCATTATCTTCTTTAATCTCTTCTGAGCTTTCCTCTCCATTTGGCTTTTTAACTTCTTCTTTGTCTTCTTCCTTACTCTCTTCCTCATTAACTTCCTCTTTGTCTTCTTCTTTATCTTTTCCTCATTAACTTACTTAAAATTTTTCTTCATCCTTGCCTCCTCCTCTTCTTCCTTAGCATCCTTATCCTCATCTACATCTTTTATACCAACCATCTTCCCTTGAAGCTTGACTAACTCATCAACAACATAAATCTACACTTCCTTTAATTTTTTGATGATAACAATGTTCATTCTAACATATATATCTTTTATCTCTTGCACAACACATAGTGTATAATAAAATATACTTCACTAGTATTGAAATAAAATAAATCTGCAATACTAACCTGGTGATGAAATGCTGTAATTGGTGGTAACTTTATGGAGATGGTTTCCTGACTAGTGCCTACAAAATAAAGGACATCATGGCAGCTTTTCTTCTCTAAATCCACTATTTTAGTCACCCTCTCTTCATTCCAATACTTGAAAGCATCACTTGAGGATGGGCCAACTTTAATTACAAAGAAATTTTGAAGGAAAAAGATCTAAAAAAAAGGTAGCTTATATTTCAATCTATATGTCTTCTAATTAGTCATCAAAAATATAAAATAATAATTACAATTGTATACCAATAAGAAAAACATGCAGCCTTTAATATTTTTTGATCTCTAGAGCTTTCCCTTCTGAAAAGTTGTTTGTACTCTTGAATCTCTATTGTAAGCTCATTGAACACAAGTTCTACCTAGTTAAACTTTTCTCATGTATTGTTTGTGTAACTCATCTCTTTCAACAGCTTCTTACTAATAACAACACTTACAGTAGGATATAAAAAGGTGCCAAGTGTGCACAATACAAAAAAAACCTCAAAAGTATCATCATCTTCTCTAGACAAGATCTTCTCCTTTATTTCATTGAAAGACAACAGAGAATGTTTCCTCTTCAATACTATAATAACCTCCTTGTTTGTTTCCATTTTTACTTCTTCCCCTTCATTGGGTAACTCCATCTAAAATTCTACATCTAAAGGAGAAATTTTAATAGTCTTCCCTCTAATTGTAATTTTTTTGTCAGTAAGTCATAAGCACATATTACCTCTCCAACAAGCTCTCGAGGTATTCTCTTGCGACCTATATCCAACAATTTCCTAAAACTAATTTTGTTCACCCTATCCCTTAACTTGTCATTGTCCTTTACAAATTGAGCAACTTTCTTAAACTTTCTTGGTGAACATTTAGTATGGAATGGTACAGTATACTTCCTCTACCTACTTTCAGCTCTTAACTTAAGGGCCTTTACTTTGTATATCTCATTTTCTTCTCCACTCAACTTCTTCCATACCTCTCAACATTTTAGAAGGACTTGTACTTTCCTTTTCTATTCTCATGAAATTCTTTCACAAATTGCTTAAATCCAGTCACATGTTGCCTCCTTTGTCCTTCTTTATCAACCATTTTTCCAATCATACACTTGTCAAAATAGTATAAACTCTTGTTAATTTCCTATGAAAACTTGTGAAAACACTAAAGGGACTTGTTAGAACATTTATCATTATATAATAATACTCTACTATTATAAATAATCTAAGGATCTTGTTAATTTGCAAATTAAAGTTGTCACTCAATCATACACTTGTTAAAATAGTAAAGACTCTTATTAATTTCCCTATGGAAACTTGTCAACACACTAAAGGGACTTGTCAGAAGCTTGCTCTTGTAAATAATTTAAGAGATCTTGTTAATTCTCGAATTAAAGTTATTACTCAATCATACACTTGTCAAAATAATAAAGACTCTTATTAATTTTGCCATGGCTACTTGTAAAACACTAAAGAGACTTGTCAGAACATTCATCATTATATACTACCCTGCTCTTGTCAATATTCTAAGGGATCTTGTTGATTCACTAATTGAAGTTGTCACTCAATCATACACTTTCAGAACATAAAACGCTCCTGTTATTTCCACATGGTTACTTGTTAATATAGTAAAGGGACATGTTAGAAGATTTATCATTATATATGATCCATCACTTGTCAATAATCTAAGGTTTCTTGTTAATTCACCAATTGAACTTGTAAAAACACTAAAGGGACTTATCAAAACATTTATCATTACACACTACCCAACTCTTATCAATAATCTAAGGGATCTTATTAATTCACCAATTCAAATTGTCAAAACATTAAAGGGATTTGTTAGAACATTTACTATTATATATTACCCTCAACTTATTAGTGATATAACAGATCTTATTAATTCACGAATTGAAATTATTGTTTAGTGATACCTTTGTCAAAACACTAGAGACTCTTCTTATTTTCCCATGGCTACTTGTCAATATACTAGAAGGACTTGTTAATTAACAATTGTAAGTTGTCATAAAATCATACGCTTGTTAATGTACTAAAGGGACTTGTTAATCATACTCAAGGCTCTTGTTATTTCAACATGATTATATGTGAATGTTCTAAAAGGACTTGTTTGAGTCTAAGCTTTTATTTTTCTACCCTCATCTTGTCAATACAATACGGGAGCTTGTTAATTTACCAATGGAAGTTGTTATCATGCATATAAAGCAACGGTCAGCAAACACATAAATGACATAACTTGGCATGCAGACCGAAATAACGCCAACAAATCAATCAACTATAATGTTTCGACTAAGATGGAGATAAATGATAATGAATACCTCCACAAGAATGAAATCCATCTTACCGTTTATTGATCACCTTTCTTCATCTCCAACAATATTGAGAACAACCACCTTTAATAATTCACAATGACCCACTGCCAAGCCTTCGACCACTAATAATACTATCAAAGAATCAACCTTATAATGTCATGCACATATAAGAACAACGATTTCATCCTCAGAAGTTAGAGAAGAAAATGCTTCTGATAGTTACTGTGATGGGGGCATTATAGGTGCAATGGTGAGGGCGATGGTGGGGACAACTTGTTTGACAAACGGGGCAGAGTGACTTTCGTTAGGGTTCCACGTGGGTTTTTCTTGTTGTTTTAAATTAAGGGGCATTTTAGTCCCTTTCCTTATGAAAATAACATATAAGAAGGACTAGAGGACTATAGTAAGAATATAAAATTATTTGTTCGTTGTATAATACAAATATTATATAGTGGTCCTTGGACACTATTTTCCCAAGAAATTATGCCAAGCATACGTGATTTTTTTTCCTATTTGCTAGAGGTTGATGAAGGAGTAAGGAATATTCCTATTGTGAAGGAGTATCTTGACATATTCCAAGATGAAGTTTTGGGTTTACCCCCGAAATGTGAGGTAGAGTTCTCCATTGAGATGGTACCTAGTATGGGGCCAATCTTTAAAACTCCTTATTGGATGTTCCCTTCGGAGTTAGCCAAATCAAAGAAGTAGATTGAGGAACTATTAGAGAAATGTTTCATAAGATCTAGTGTTTCACCTTGATGATATTGGGGATTGTTTGTCAAGAAGAATGATGAGAGTTTGAGATTATGCATTGACTACTGATAGTTGAAAAAAGTGTTAAAATTTAAGTAAATGCATGTAAAAATAATTTTGTTAAAAATATACAAATTAAACTAAATGTTTCACTAACAATAAACATAAAAAATGACAATATATCTCAAACTTTTCTTCAACAGTATGGTAGGGTAAATAAAAAAAGAAAAATATTTATGGAGCAAAGGGCGATGATGAAAAAAGTATAAAATGTTTCCTAATGAGAGGATAAGCATTGGTGAGTTGCAATGAATGTAATTCATGCTTTTATTTATTTATTTATTTAGTTATCTCCTGATCTAGTCTCTCACTCCTTGTATCTCTCCTCTCCTAATCTCATCCCACCTTTCCTCCACTTTCTTCTTTTCAATATTCACTTATATTTGTTTAGAAACCTATCATCACAGCTTAGTCCAGAGAGTGCAAGATCAGGGAAGAGCGGGGGCATATTTCAACCACATGCAGTTTTAAAAACTTGAAGGGGCCAGTTGCCTGCATTGGCATTAATGTAGGTCCACCCCTGACTTGCTGCGTCACATTTCTACCTAATGAGTTTGTTGGGCGTGGTGAGGCTTTTTTTTTTTTTTTTTGGGTGTATGGATGTCGACTGCATTAGTGAACTTTAGGGATTCCCAAAAAAGAAATAAAGTATAGGGGGCTAAATTTTAAAACTCACTACAACTTCATGACCAAATGCTTATATTTTCCCAAATGAATAAGAAATGCAATTTGAAGGAAGCACGAAGCTATTTCATGGCAGGAAGAGAGGACGTGTAAGACAGCCATGGTTTGATGGATGCACTTTGGTAGTTTCCAAGGGGCCAAACAAAACGCAGTATTTTAATGTTAGTTATACTAGATTCGTATAAACAAGAATAATTTAATTTGACAAGTGAGAGAAAGTTAAAAAGAAAAAAAACGAGAACAATTTTGAGGAAAGGTTCAAGGGGAGGGAAGCAGCCAGCTGGAATGAGATGAAAGTGTATTTCGGGATTTTCCATTACTTTCGCTTTTGAGTTAACATTTTATTATCTTCCTATCCTTGTTTTCCCAGAAAAATTTCAAAGTTGCAGAATCAGAGTCCACGTATGGGGGGATAAGTTGAGCAGAGACTGTGAGAGAGATCCAATTCTATTTTACATCCCTTGGCATACTTATCGTGTCCGTGTCCTTTTGCTGCTTAATTCTGGGCAATGTTGATCTATGACGGCCAATATTAGACCTGTAGGCCTAAGGTGCGTCACCCTTTATCCCCTACAGCCTCCGCCTTGTCTGAATTCCTCGATCCAACCCTCACTTCCTGTCTTTTGCAATATCAATTCTGCTCTGATTTTCCTATATTTGCTCCGATTGCGCCACTTGTGGAAACTCAAGCTTTTGGGTGGAAGAGTGAGCTGGAACGAAGAAAACAGTGACTGCTGATCATCAGGTTATTTTCGCTGTCTTTTCTCTTCTCAATTCCATTTTTGGTTCCCACTTCTTCAATTTATGTTGATTGTGAGTTATTGTAGATACCCACTTTTCTTTCTTTATTTGTTCTTGCATTCAGAGCTAGAATGTTTTTTCTCACTTTTTTGGCTTGTCGATTCTGAATCGCTTGCACCATTTTTAAAATTCTGATGGACGAGTCGGATGGAATTTGGTTGCTTCAGAATATTGGCGATCAAGAGATCTGCATATTCACATGGTTTTCTGCCCGCCAATTTTGTCAGAAATCGGTGGTAGTTATTCTTGGCTCCTCTTATCCCACGTGGGTAATATGAATTGATTTTTGTGTGTATATGCAGTGAGATAAACTTGAAACCAGTGGGAAGTCACCTGTTCTTCTTGTTTAGATTGTCTTAATCGGACTTCCTTCGCCTTTTTTTGGCTGTGAAACTGTGCACAGGTATTTCTTGCTGTACTTGGTGTACCTCATCATATATCTCCCGAATCTTTGTTGCAGATGACTTGGTTATTAAATTCAACATGTTGTACAAGAGCTTGGATGCTGATGGTGAGGAAAACCGGACATGAATTTATGGGCTAATTTTCTGTTGGTACTTCTTCACCTAGCACTTGATTCACATTCTTTGAGAACACTTGATAGCTTGTGCAACTGATAAACTGTTCTAATGGAACTAAATAAGCCGGAAATTTTGTTCGTTGCCAACCCTAGAAGGGCTCCAGGTGTGTTTACTCAATACATACTTGCAGAATCAGCAAGCGATGTTTTAAAAACAGGTCAGGATTTACATAATGACGTCTTAATACAGCCGGGGAAAGAATTTTCTGCAGAGTTTGGACATGAAGGAATTGCTCATAGAAGAGAACCTGCTGCCCCTGATTCACTTCGAAAGCATGAAGTTAGGTTTGGATTTCACGGGGAGAATGGCCAAGTGAGATATGAGGATCTTACTAATATTCTGGGATCGAAGAGACTGGACTCTGAGAATCCTTTTGAGATTGCTGATCTTAACTTCACAAGAGAGCCAACTCAAGAGATGGAAAATGGGGCTTTCGTTGATAAAAATAGCAAAAGTCAAAAGGAAGATGGTAATGTAACACAAGGAGCGAGGAAGACTCTTGGTGAATCAGTTGGTGACCAAGCTGATACCGGAGCACCTGGGTCTCCCTTCCTTAGAAAAGAATCCTCCTATTCCAATGAAGTTTCTGGTTTAGGAGCGTCAGATGATTCTCAATCTGGAAAAATCAAATTGCTGTGCAGCTTTGGTGGAAAAGTATTACCAAGGCCCAGGGATGGGAAACTCAGATATGTAGGGGGAGAGACTCGCATTATATCTATCCGAAAGGATATTTCATGGCAAGGGCTTCTTAAGAAGACCCTGGGTATTTGCATTCAGCCTCACTCAATTAAGTACCAGCTTCCAGGTGAGGATCTTGATTCTCTAATATCTGTCTCCTCTGATGAGGATCTTCAAAATATGATAGAAGAATACCATGGGCCTGAAAGGCATAAGGGATCTCAAAGACTTCGAATTTTCTTAATTCCCTTGAGTGAATCTGAAAAGGAATTGTCATTTGAATCAAGAACTGATCAGCAGAGTAATCCTGATTACCAATATGTTGTTGCTGTGAATGGCATAGGGGACTGTAGTCCAAGAATAAATAGTTTAGGGCAGATCTTGACAAATGAAGTTGGTCCACCAGGAACAGATTTGAATTTTGCTCCAGACTTCCAGAAAATATTTCCAAATGCACCTTCTTCAGAGATCAAGGGTGGTGGTATTGCTATATATCCAAATGGATTTTTTAATGATTCTCAGAATCTGCAGAGGACCTCCAATCAACATCAACAGATTTCTTCTACTCCATTTCAGGGAGGAAATTTGAGCACAATTTTAACACAGTCTCGTGGTAATAACTCATGCCAGGAAAGTGCTACAAGCAGCTCATCCTTTATTACTGCCCAACTATCACCTGAGACGTCCAATGTAAGTGCTGCTGATAGCAGATACTCCCCACAAATGGCTGCAACTTTCCTAAGCGACAATCAACCCTGCCAACAAACTGATATTGGTCTGCCAGAGCAGTACTGTGGGAAGCTATTCAGAAATAATCCCGGGAAGGAATTTATGACTGCTTTGTTTGCTAATCAAAGTGACAGCTGTAATGATGAAATTTTGGGTGAAGGGTCCATGCATAAATCGGGAAATCCTCTTTCCAGCCTGGGTGAGTCAGTTAGTCCACAGTCTGGATCTAATTGCATTCCTGATTCTCTAAATGGGATACCTCATGCATTTTCTGATTCAAAGTTGCATGAGAGTGGATTTAAGTCTGGTTACTGCTCTCAAGAAGGGATTGGTCAATTTTCCTCATTGAACCTTTCAATGGCTCAGTTATCTTCTATGGTACCCTCTAGTGTTTCACAAAGGGACCCTATGGAAATCCAGCATGATCCTCTTCTCGTTTATCCACAAATACAAAGTAAGATGCCAATTGTGGAGCCAGGTGAGTCTCACGGAAGGCAGGATTTTCCAATTTCTTTACCGTCTACAGTATGTTTAGGAGTGAATGATCCTATTCAGAAGGATAGCATTTTATACAGTAAGAGGAATCCTTTAGCTCAAACTGATTTAACTGCATCTATCTTTATGGAGCGGCAGTGTGGGGACAATACTGTGAATATAGAAATCATGAAGAGAATGGAAGATGAAAATTCTCTTCAGAGTAAGGATAGCAATCTTTATGAGAGGGAATCACCTGCCATTGCTATGGAGCATGTGAATGAATTGCATCTTCTGGACTCTTCTCCAACATCTAATTTAAACACTAAGATTCATAAACAAAATCAGTTGGAGCAATCTTCTGAGGGTATGGTTTCTGCATCCTTTTGCTTGACAGGAATTTCCCAAAATAATCTGATTGAGATGACCCCATCAGATTTTCTTGCAATGAGCCACAGGACTAATGATGGAAGGGAATGTGGTTTTACTGAAGGTTTGAATGGTGAGCTAGGATTTGATTTTTCTTGGACCAGAAAATCTGGGTTTAATGCTTCATCTCTAAAATGCGAAGGAAACTCTAGTGGTAACACTTCTCAAAGTAATCATTTGTTCGAGCTGCCGATGGACCTGGTTTCTCATAAACAAGCACAAGTTCAACCTTTACGGAAGGATACAGATCTCTATGGAAATCCGACAGTAAGCTCAGGTTTTTTGTATTCTTCAGCACTTCATGATGACCCTGGTCCTAGTTCAAATTTGCCTGTGAATGAACTACAGAACTCAAGCAAGAATATTGTGTTTAAAAGAGTATCTTCTCTCATTGATGATGACCTTATAGCTAGTTCTAGTCAAATGGTTGATCAGTATAGTTGTGGAACTCTTGCCTGTGAAACAAGAGTTGAAGATATCATGTTGGAGCAATCAAAAATTTTTGAAAAGAGTGACAACTCAAATAAAATTGAGCCGCTTATTACTATAGAAGATGTGACCAATGTTGTTCCTCCAAGCATTGAGTCTTCATTGGCGCCCATCCAGCATATAGTCGTTGAAATTGGAAGTGATGTTTTATCCCCATCTGCGGCAGATTTGGAGAGCACTATTCCAGATTCTGAACTTGAGGTAGAAATATTGCAATCAGACAAGAGCATTTGCTGGGTTGTTTAGCATCTGTAACAAAAATATTTTCTTTTATAGGATTTTAAAGATGAAGAAGGCAAGAATGAATCCCTTACCGATGCAAGGGTAGCAGAAATGGAAGCCAGCATCTACGGCTTGCAGGTTGTCTATCATTGATGTTTTTATCCCTCATATTATTTGGCTGGCTTGAGCAACAATGTCAAATCCTCTATCCATATAACATTTTTTATTTTTTACACACAGGATTCATCTCTTGCTTTGAAACTAAGAATACCCTTTGTTCTATTCTCTGGTTTAAACTCTGTAACTAGTATATGCTAATAAGACTTTTAGTAAAAATTCCATGGTGAGGGAAAAAATGAATGAAGTAATTTAAAATGGTTTATCACCTCATGCCACTTAAGTCCTAGTTGACAATGTTATAGAACAAATAGAAAATAAGAAGAGGTTATTCTGTCTCCTGTTTCCTTTAAATGATTAACATGAGTACGTTTTGTACCATGTAGTTAAATATAGAGAGGTTGCCAATTATTAGCTGCAGGGATGACTTAATTGTGATTCCCGACATCAAAATGAAAGATTCCTTATGTACTTTGATGACATGATTAAAAAATAACAAGGTTAGGCCTATCAAAACTTAAAGGTGTCATTGACATTTTGGTCGAATGACATTTTCTTTCCCCTTTTAGAAGTATGCAGTACAGTGGACTGGGATCTATTAGCTGACATCAATATTAGATCCTTGTTTGTCTTACATTTGCTTTCTTCTCATAGATGCTGCAAAATGGGCTGCCTGTAGAAAGTGACCATCCAGATTGATTGTCATGGCTGTTGATACGCTGTATCCAACCCCTTTGCTTACTGGATTTATTTATTTATTTATTTATTTTTTTTGAAGTTACCTTAAATTGTGTTCCTAGTTATGCATGAGACGATAAAGATTTGTCCCTGTAAATGTAGTAAAATAGTTATATGCTGCTGCTAATCCATGTATCAATACAAAAATTAAATATTCAACATTTCATTTTACCAGTATCCATCTTCCTAACTGTCAGATTACAATGTGTATTGGTAAATTAATGCTACGAAGAGCTGCATGGTTGTATGGTGAATTTAAGAAATCATGGTCTTACCTAGCTTTTAATTTCTTTGGGATATAATATAATGCACTGGATTTTATGGCTCTAAACTGTTATTATGCACTGTTTCTGACCTCTGCAAAAATTGGGGAAGATAGAATTTTTCTCGACATGTGTATCTTCTTTACTGGATCTTTGTTGTTGTGTTTATGGATGCTAGTAAATACCGTTGAGCTACCTGGTCCTTTCCTGCTTTGTCAACTTTATAATTTGTCCATCACTGATTTTTAAGGTCATGTTATTTAGATAATTCGAAATGCTGATCTCGAAGAACTTCGGGAGTTAGGATCTGGTACTTATGGAACTGTTTATCATGGAAAATGGAGGGGAACGGATGTTGCTATAAAGAGAATTAAAAAGAGCTGCTTTTTAGGAAGATCTTCTGAGCAAGAACGATTGGTTAGTCTTCAATTCTATTTTCTTCTCAACACCATATTTAATGTATAACTTGAATAATATTTAGGGTTAAGGGTAATTTTTGCCCCTTACTTTTAGCCAAAAGGTTACTGGGTACCCTAAACTCAATTATGGATTAATTTTGTCCCTCAGCATTAAAGTTTCTTTCCCTTATCACCTTGCCGTTAACTCACCATCTTTCCACCGTTAACGGGCCCCACTTTCAATTTTATTATAAAATATTGGGTTAAGAGTCATTTTTGTTTTTCAACTTTATCCCAAAGAGTCAATGGGCATCCTAAAATCAAATATTTTAATTAAAAAAATTGAATATAGGGCTCAGTAACAGTGAACAGACAATAAGTTAACAACAGGGTGACAAGGGAAGGTATTTTATAATAAAATTGAAAGTGGGGCCCACTAACAGTGAACAGACGGTGAGTTAATGATAGGGTGACAAAGGAGGGAATTTTTAACTTTAAGAGACAGAATTGACTTATAGTTAAATTTAGGGTGTCTAACGACTCTTTGGGTGAAGTTGAGGGGAAAAAATGGCCCTTAAATCTAATATTTATCTAGATCCATAGGTCTAATGGTGTAATCCCTTCTTAGTAAAGTGGATGGAAATGAAATAGGGTGTAACCTAGTGGCTGCATGGAATTTCACTACCGTTTTTTATTGGAATCAGAATTTGTTGATGTCTCAAATTAGAATTGGAATATCTTTAATTGGATTAGGCTTCTTGCAGCGCGTAGAGTTTCTCTAGCATGCAATGTTCACTTTAGAGACTGAAGTGCTTTTGGGTAATCAGTGATGAATTGATGATAAATTTTGATTCAACTTTTCTAAAAAGCAACATGAGTTCTTGATGACTACTAACAGATGTGCAAAATTCAGTTCCTGTGGTCTATCATTAACACTGTTTCACTTGCACTTTACTCTCTAAAGTGCAAGGTGTACTTTTAAGGAGTAAAGTGCAAGGTGTACTTTTAAGGATCCAAATCCCTTTAACACGTAAAATCTAAACCCCATATGAAGAGATTTCTTGCATGCTATTCTACTAATATTTCTTCAGTTTTAGGTAATACCATTTCAGAGCTTTTTTAAACTACCAAGATCACATTTCTATCAAAATAAGAAATAAAATAAGATCCACTTGAATCTGATACTGTTTATTTCCTTGGTTAGACAAAAGACTTTTGGAGAGAGGCACAAATCCTCTCAAATCTCCACCACCCCAACGTGGTGGCTTTTTATGGGGTTGTACCAGACGGAGCTGGAGGAACCTTGGCAACTGTGACTGAGTATATGGTTAACGGTTCCCTTAGACATGTCCTTGTCAAGAAGGATAGGTATGCTAACCTCACTCTTGTTCTCTTTATAATGTTGAATTGTTATTGATGCATGTATTGAATCTCCAACTCTTTATGCAGATTACTTGATCGTCATAGAAAGCTAATAATTGCCATGGATGCAGCTTTTGGAATGGAATACTTGCATTCAAAGAATATTGTTCATTTTGATTTGAAATGTGACAATTTACTCGTCAATCTGAGGGATCCACTGCGACCCATATGTAAGGTGAGATGTCTAGATTCTAAAAATCAAGTTTCATCTTGTTTAAAGCAAGAGACAGTGCCTCCTTTTATTGCTGAATGTAAGTACAGTAGTATTTGATTTAAAGTGATGAAGAATATTTGGAGACAGGAAATTTAAGTCAAATAAAGTATAGTAATACAATTGGATGGAACTTGTTAAAGATTAATAATAGATGAGACATTTGGGATGAAGCGATCCTTGACATGGCAGAAAACCTCCATGAACAATCGATCAAGAGTTTCATTTGCTGGCCCCATTACCTAACAAGGTATAGTTGACATGTACTTTGTCCACACTTAAGCATCACTGGCTTTTGAGTGAGGAGACATGTTGAGGATTATGATAAAACCATCCAATTGGCCTTTATTTAATAGCTGAAGCTTTTAGGATGAAATGGTCATTGACATGTATTTATTTTTAAGCTGTAGGTATTTCATCATTTGAATATAGTTGTAACCTTATAATTTAGTTTGGACTCCCTAAAATATATCTTACCTAATATTACTAATGCCTATTCTTTCGGAACTTTTTTCCTTGATTAAATTTCAGGTTGGAGATTTTGGATTATCAAGAATTAAACGCAATACCCTGGTATCTGGTGGAGTGCGAGGAACCCTTCCTTGGATAGCACCAGAGCTGTTAAATGGCAGTAGCAACCAGGTTTCTGAGAAGGTCTGTGAAACTATTCAAATGCATTTTTTTCAGCACAAAGGAATTAAATGAACTTTTTGGCGGGCATTTAGCTTGTGGAATGACTTTGACAGGTTGATGTTTTCTCGTTTGGCATCTCTATGTGGGAGATATTGACTGGGGAGGAACCTTATGCAGATATGCATTGTGGCGCTATTATAGGTGAGATATATTCAATCATTATCATTCTTATGCCCCAGCAGTTCTATCTCTATATATAGGTAATAATATTCCTAAAAGTTTAGTTGACGATAGAGCACAATCGTGTCATACAATCTATATAGATGACCTCACCCAATAGGATAAGGCTGTTTCTTGTTATTGTTGCAGTTTTATCCAAGCTAATCGACTGTGCTACGAAAAAAAAAAAATTCATGAAAAATAGGTTGAACTTTTAAGACAGAAGATTAAATTTTATTAGAACCACTAAATGAACCTTCTCTTCTATAGGTGGCTGCATAAATTTCTGCAATATTTGATATAACTGACAGATATCTGTCTTTTAATTGGTCTTGTAACTTGGATAGCTGTAATGGAATTTCGTATCGCTGTTCTTTGCTCTGAAACGACCTTATGTAGGAACCTTAAAGGACAAAATAGATGAACGGAAAAGTTATTCATATATATATATATATATATATTATTTTGGGTGAGAAATATATAGTGTGATGTATGTTATGTTTGGAATTTTATATGTTGAAAAGATATAACAACTGCAGTTAATCATACTCAAGCAGTGGTGGAGTGAAATGTTCGAAGTTGCAATGGAGCAACGCTGATGCTCTTCTGGCTTGCATTACTGATTTGCTTCCTTTTTGGCAACATATGATTTTAGGGGGGATTGTAAAGAATACTCTCCGACCACCAATTCCACCACATTGTGACCCTGAATGGAGGAAGCTTATGGAAGAATGTTGGTCACCTGACCCTGATAGCCGACCATCTTTTACTGAGATAACGAGCCGACTCCGATCAATGTCTATGGCCCTTCAAGCTAAGCCTCATAATCAGGTGCGGTAGACGACACCCAGTGTTCAGTCATGAAACCAAGGGATGCTTTACTCTTGTTTGGTCATCCTTCCTCAGTCGTTGGCCTTTATCTCGAAGCACCGTTTATTGAGGCTGGCTTGAATTCTTGAAGGGTGAGCACGATTACTAGCCTGTTGTTTCTCTTTTCTGTTGGCAATATCTTCATTTGTTTATTCTTTTAGTGTAAGTTGAAATTTAGATCATGGTATAAGTTGACTGTATCTATCAATTTTCTCCTTGTTTCATGATCGATTATTCTACCAGATGATAGTGGGGAAAAGCAGGGCGTCTTTACTGTATATACATCCAAAAATTGCTTGTAAGACATACATACATGTTTTACTTGACTGTGAGCTTGTAAATCCTTCAAATTTTCGTTTATTTTTACTGAAACACGTCCATTTTCCCCATTTCCCTTAGTCTTGTTTGTCCATGTTATGGAACTAAAGGCGAGAATGATCAAGTTTAGTTTGAGCTTGCTTTTCGTTTGGCAGGTATTCTTCGGAATTCATGTGGTGATTGTGGTGTATGAATTACTTTTCGCTCAAAATTTAACTATGTATATGACAGATTTTTGTTTGGGTCAAACTTATTAGAGAACAAAGCTTCCATACTAAGAGCATTGTATAATTTTTCAACACAACAGGAATTGAATTTAACAAAGAGTTGAATTTTTACTGAAAAAGATGTTCATATTTAGTGTATTGAAAATTCAAAAATTTACTATATTGTTAACATTTTTACTTTTTTATAGTTTGAATAATTCTGTATCGTAAGGATTTTTTTAATATTACCAGAGTTTGAATCTTTAATCACTAAAAATGTGACTATTGTGAACATAAGAAACTACGAAAATATGGAGATGATGTATTTTAATCTTTTTCATTATTGCTCTAGCTCGTGAGACTTTTTTCCTCGATTTTCTCTTATTGATGGCATCAATTGAATCGAGAGCCCCCAGCTTCCATGGATTTACGAGGAAAGCCAGGCCCGCCGGAAATTTGTAAGACTTGCCTTCCATGATATTTCTAAAAAATAAGCAACATTAAGAGTGTATTTGGTTGGAGAGGGAAATGGTAGAGTAAAAAATAAGAGTTAAGTTTAGAGGGTCGAGTTTAGAAATTTTGTTTAAATAAAAATTTGAGTTTTAAAAATTAAGTTTTTTTTTTTTGAAGTAGCTGGGCTTGAGGGCCTAGCCCTAATAAGCCCTGTGAAAAAAGACTCAAGCCTGAACAGCCTTGATAAACTTAGTTATCTTACACACACATATGTATATTTGATTGATAATGACATAATTTGATTAATATTTATTGTACGTGATGAAGAAGAAGTTATAAATATAATTGACATTAAATCTTCATCTCCATCTTCAACAAATGGATATATGTATCTAGTATTTTATTTTTAGGTGATGATAATGAGGATTTAGATTTACATTGATAAACATTTTAATCTTCATCTTAAATTTAAAATTTTTGTAGAATTTTATGTGAGATTTTAATTTATTTTATGTTGAATTTTAGAATATTTTGTTTAAATTAAAATTTGAATTTTTTCTTTTTAAGGAAAGATAGCTTAAGGGCACGGCCCTGAATCCTTTAAATAAGAGTCGGAGCTCAAAATGAGATTAAATTTTTGATAATTAAGCTTTAGGATCTAAATTCTTAAAGACCATATCCACCCTAATTCTCATTTTTTACAATGACTCCCCTCCCTTCATTTTGGCTCCCTCTAAATTGAGGGATTTCGGAGGGGAGTCAAAATTTTTGACTAATCTATCCTCATTCATTTTGTTATATTCTACAATTGTCCTCATGGCTAAAAAAAAAAAAAAAGCATTCTACATTTAGACTCTTCATCAGTCATCTTGGAGTTATCTTGTCCATCCCATCTCGCTGTTGTGTTTCCAAATCCCCTACCCATCCTGCCATCATCAAGCTTGTCGAAGACATTAGAAAGGTGCATGGTTCATTGGTTCTGCAGCTTCCCCAACAATGAGGATTGAACTTGAAGGAATCATAGAGTGATTCCAGCTATTTTATTTATTTTTCATTGGCTAGAGGCTTTCCTTCCCAAGCACGTCCAAATTGATTTATTCAGTTTTTCCTTCTTGTATTGCAGCGATGTGAGAAAAACTTGTCTCTTGTATCAGTTTTCGAAGCAAGCCTTTTGAGTTGAGTCAGTGGGTATACTGGTGCTGCATTGTTTGATATATTTTGTTGATACGTGCTAAATATGATTAATTAACATTTTATTATATGATTTTTTATATTTTTGTTTAAATAGTATTATTATTATTTTTAGAAAAAATAACTCCTTTGAATGATGAGATTTAATGCAATTTTTTTTTGGTAGAAAGGGAAATAAAAATTACTATCATAAAATTAATTTATATGAGAAGAAATAAAAATAAAATAAAATTTAATATATAAGGATATAATAGTAAATTAATTATTATCTTCCATTCTTTTTTCTCTTAAAACAAACAAAAAAATCATTAACCGTTCCTTTCTCCTTCTCTTTGATAAAACCAAATAAAGATAAATTAAAAACCCTCTTCTCTAACCAAACATAGCCTAATAAAATTATGATTCCTTTGTTATTCTCTCGTTAACATTCTTTATCTCCCTCATTTGCTTCATACATTCCCAGCTCTTCTCAAACTTGTCTCTTAACATTCCATTGATAAGAAAGGAAGCGCCTGATCTCCACAAAAACACTATCACCAAAGCTCCCAACGCCACCTTGCTTGAGCATATCAATGACTAGCTTCGAATCTGACACCAGATTAAATTCCTGAATCTCATGTCCCCTGCCAAGTTGAAGCCTTTGGGAATGCCCCATTCTTCAGCTTAATCCAATGCCCTCTAGAACCTCGCAATACCCCGCCACAACCAGCACGTTTACTAGACACTGTCATCGCACCATCAACATGAAGTTCAGGGAGGACCGTTTATCAAAGAAGTAAGAAGCCCTTCTACATCCAGTTGCAATACTATCCTTTGTGGTAGACTAGTTGAGTAGTTCCCTAAAAATGATGAAGATAATCACCGCAGGATTTTGTAGTCACGGAAGAACATCTTCGGTTTCAGCTCGACACCAGTCAGAGAGAGAAGAACAGTGGGATCATTTACTCCTCCATAAATCGGTTAGAACTAGAAATTAACCCCGTGCATTGAAATTAGAAGGCTTTCAGTGAAAACATCTTATTCCATCCTAATCTTCCAATTTACTTTAGCTCCATTCACAGCTAATTTATAATTTACTTTCCATCTCGAAGTGCTAGGCACTTTATATCAATAAATGAAACTTTTTTGAATTACTTTTTGAAGGAGCAAAATCCTGCCTTTATAAATTAGTCGTAAACTCAAATGTCATCTGATGATTTGGCAGTGGGATCTGACCTCTTGTTGGTATTCCTATTCTCTTCCTCACTCTCTCACACATCACACTAAACCTTCCCCATTTTCCTTCCTTAATAGCGGAGAAGCTCGTTGTGCTTCTATTTCTTCCAAACCCACCACCCACCAGACTCCTCTTTCCCAATCAGCCCTAGTTTCACCCCACGTCACCGTCGCTTCCTCCGACACCGCCAATGACCCCTCTTCTTCAAGACCTCCTTTTGAACCATGATTCCACTTCTTCGCAACACCAGCACAATAATGCTCAATACCCAGTTAAGCCAACCTGAACACGAAGCCGAAGCCGAAGCCGAAACCGCATTGGCAGGTCCTTAGACCCCAACCGCGACAAGCCTTGGTCGAATCATCAACTTTTGGGTCAAGGTGCACAGGTTCTCCAAACCTTAACTGACCTATAATTTGATTTCAAGCAATTGGTAGTATAGCACGTCAAGGAAAACACCGCAAGAGCCCGCAACAAATGAAGTTTCTCAATCAGCAAGAGCCACACATTTCACACGTTCAACAAACAGCACGACAAGGAAGAAATGAAATTCAGTTTAATACTACATACATACAGAAAATCATCCTACACAAAAGAAACATAGAGGAGAGCCAAAGAGCTAACAAGGGAGGTCCCAAGGTTCGTAATCCGAAGGATTTGCAAGAAACCTTGCGCCTGAGGTAGTATGGACTTTGATTCCACATCAAGCAGCACCTGCTAGTGGTTGATGTGGACGCTCAAGCTCAGATTGACAGGCCTTCCAAATTTCATATTCGAAATCTTACCAAAGTCTCCGATGCTGGAGTTCTGATTATCAGGGGAAATTGAGTTGGACATCCCCCAGGGCGTGATTGTAATGACATCCCGGCCTTAACTAATCATAAACACAATTAATTAAACCAACCATTAAAGTTATGTATCAAACTTGACTAGGTTTAATTTTCATAATTGCTTTTGAAAGTATTAGAAATAATGAGATCTCAAAATTAATTGAAAAAGAATAATGAAGTCTAAATACTTAAAAATATCTAAAATTAAATATAAAAGTTTGCATACACATGAAAATATGTTGAGCTTTTGAATAGGTCAAAATAAAGGTAAAATAAACATTTTAGCAAAACTAGCATGTTTGTCACGACTAGTGGCATAGAGGACACTCACCACAGCCAACTGCAGGATCCATCGTGGCCAACTCATGCATAGTGTCCACCATAGTAGATGGTGCACAATTCCAGTACAAATCATGCAACCTTAACGGTTAACTTTCAAAATGCTTAATTTATAGCTCGAACCTCCAATTAAAGTGGTCTAAATATCCATATGAAGATAATTGAATAAATTAACTAATGGCCTTGGTTAAACTCTAATTTGGAATCAAATGAGAATTTTGGAACACTTGGTGCCAAAACATGCATTTATGTTAAAAGCACCAAAATTAAGTGTCTCTCCTCTTAAGTCATTATCAATACAAACTTCATCAAAACATTAAAAAAAAATTCATAACTAACATGCATAATAATTGACTTGTGTCCATGAGCTACAAACATTCCAATCTCCCCTCCCAGAACTTACTATCAACTAGAAGGCTACTCATGTTGAAGTTAAAATATCAATCCTCTAAATTTGTGCAACCATAACATACACCCATAGGCATCATTAATCCCAACTTCAAAATCATAAGAATTCTTGCCATAAAGCCTAAGTTAACACCATTGGCTCATGCAAATGCAATATATAGCCTAACACTTACAAATTTCTAATGTTGGTAATAATGAGTATTCAATTACACAAGATAAAAAGTTAGAGAATTTATGTAACATCCCAATTTTTATTTCTAGAAGTTAAATAACATTATGAGGGAATTATTCTATGGTAACTAGAAATTATCATGTAATTATTTGAGCTAAATTGTAAGGTCTAAATTCCAATACATAATTTTTGAAAGAAAAAAGAGAGTTAATAAGGTTAAGAGCGAAACATGTTTATAAAATTTTATAAAAGTACAATGAGTATGTTTTAGAAATGTGAAATGTGAAAATAATGTTTGAAATGTTTTTGCCAAGTAGGATGATAAAT